TCCCAAAGGCTCACCATGTGGGAGGAAAGGGACCCCAAGGAAACAGTGCTGGTCTGTCTGCTCCCACCTTCTCTCCCAGCACAGCCTTCCTGCTCTTGCCCCTCTGTCAACTGTGACCTCTACACATCCCACAAGGACAGCAGGAACAAAGGTGAACTTCCCAAAGCCCACAGCTGGGGAAAGGAGAAGACAGAGGAGATCCCCAAACTACTGCACTTATAGAAGACAGACACAGGTATTTTGTGCCCAAATTTCAAGACAAGGGTTTGCCCCTTCCACACACAAACTTGCACATCAGGAAGGGTTTATTTCCCAAACTCCAGAGTCAGCTTCTTCAGGCAATGTGACCACAACTGCCAAGGTTTGCTCCATGTGTTGGTCAAACCCTCCACTGAGCCCTTTCAACATGCAACGTTTGGGGGACGTTATTAAAACTTTCACTGACAGTAAAAAAACTCCACCCACACAATTTTTTCCTTCCATTGCAGCACATGAATGGATTGGCAAAGCTCTCCCTGATGCCAGAGCACAGGGATGGACACAAGCAGAGACACAGGGGCAGCTGAAACTGCCAGGGAGGAGCAGCTGACTGTGACCAGCTGTGCCCCAGCTCACTATGCCCACCATGGAGCAGGCCCTGACCCCTCCCCCAAGCCGTCCCTGCCTTACCTGCAGCCAGAAGGCAGCACACTCCAGCACAGGAACCCTGCAGACAGCCACTGCCATGGAAACCAGCTTCCCCAGCAAAGCCATCCTGCTGTCATCTGCTTTGTTCCCTTGGGGGCTGAAGAGAGATGAAAAGATGACCTGCCGGACTGAATCCTTGGTCTGCTCTTGGAAATAATTGCACATGATCTCAAGGAGCTGAAGTTCCTGAAGTGGGGTCAGTCTCTGAAAGAAAACAAAAGCAAAGCTGTAAAACAGACTGAGACTCTTGAAGGGCCATGAGCCAAGTGAGAAGACAAGAACAGTAAAGGTTGAGAGTTTCCCTTTCGGCTGAGGGACTCAGTCTTTGTGCACAGCACACACATTCGAGCTTCTTGAACCACCACTGCATTTAACCAGTGACACTGAAGAGCTCCAGGTTTCACTTGAACACCTGGATGTCCAAAGCTGGTGCTTGCTGACTGACCTTGCTGGGGGGGGAATATTTCCTCCCTCTGCAAATAACAGCACTGAGGACACTGCTGGGCAGCTGGGGGGGGGCAGAGCTGGACTCTGTGGACCTGATTTTTCTGGGCCTGAGAGAATTACATCCTGTTGGTGGCTGATCTGTTCCCAAGGGAAAGTCTCTTGAGAGCATCTCTTGCTCAAGGACAATCTTTGTAAACAATTTCATTTTCTCAAAACAGTTCTGTACAGCTGTGGATAGTGTGTTCTTCTCTTATCCCACCAATGGGACAAGAGGTGGTGTTCCCTTTACCAATCATGTTAAACCTGTAGTGTAATACCCTATAAAAGGCTGAAAAGTTCGGGGAATAAAGGCCTCTTCTAGCAGCTCGTTCTGGTGTGCTGCATAGAATCCACACTTCTACATCGTGTCCAACAGTGACAGGACTCAGCAGCACTGAGGGCTGCAGGGCCATGTGCCCTCATAGTCACCAGCAGCTGTGGCTTCTGACTGCTCCTCTCTGAGTCCCCCCAATCCCAGCTCCATCCTATGCCCACCCAAAAGCCTCGGCAGGGCCCAGCTGCAGCACTCGGGGCTGTGGGCAGTCCCCAGGGCCTCCAGGGCCGGAACCCTGGCCAATCCATCAGGGACTGGCCATCAGCCCCCTCCCTGCCAAAAAACCTCAGTCACCAGCACCCCAGGGACCCCGTGCTGTCGTCCTGGGGCCTCAGCCTCCAGCAGCAGAGCCTCGGGGACCCAATCCTGCCCCTCTAAGCCCTCAGTGTCCAGCAGCAGAGCCTCGGGGACTCAATCCTGCCCATCGAAGCCCTCAGTCTCCAGCAGCAGAGCCTCGGGGACCCAATCCTGCCCATCGAAGCCCTCAGTGTCCAGCAGCAGCCTGTGCCAGAGGCAGCCTGAGCCCCATTCTGAGGCCTCAGGCTCCAGCAAGGATCCTGTCCTGAGCTCCTGAGGCCTGCCCTGCATCCCCACTCGCCCGGGGCTGTGTCCCCCCGCCTCCCGGGCCGGTTCCGCTCCGCCCGGGGTGTCCCTGCCGCACCTTGGGCGGCGCGCCGCGCTCCTTGGGGACCTGGAAGAGGAACTCCTCGAGCAGATCGGTGGGGCCCTTGTCCACGAGCGGCAGCGGCGCGTTCTGCAGCTGGCTGCTGAAGTAGATGTCCAGGTGGTACAGCACCTCCTTGGCGGCGCTGAGCGCGTCCCGCCGCAGCAGCGAGTGCCGGATGTCGCTCATGGCCCCGGCCCGGCCCGCTCCCGGCCCCGCTCGGCGCGGCCTCCCCTCGGCAGCGCGGACGGGCGGGCCCTACGGCGGCCCGGCCAGGACAAAAATGGTCACGCGCTACCGCCGCCGGCAGCGCCCCCTGGCGGGCCCACCCGCGGGGCGTACGGGGGGCTCGGCCGGGAGGGAACCGGGCCTGGGCAGGGGAACCTGGACATGGCGGGGAGCTTGCCCTGAGGGACTGAGACAGGGGGTCTCAACCTTGGGAGGAGCCTGGCCATGAGGGGGTCTTGGCCCTGGAGGGATCTTGGTCCCGGGGGCTGGTGCTGGGGTTGGGTCAGGGGGTCTCAGCCTGGAGGGGTCTGGACGTGGGGGGCTGTCGGCCCTGTGGGCTGGTCCTTGGGCTCACTCAGGGGCTCTTGACTTGTGAACTGGCCCTGAGGGTTGTCCAGCCCTGGGGGTGTTGGCATGAAAAGGGTCTGATCTTAGTGGTGTCTTGGCCCAGAAATGGTGTTAAGCCCTGGGACTCTGCCTTGAGGGGGTCTTAGCCTGGGTGAGACAGGATCTGGAGGGACCTTGGCTCAGGAGAGTCACGGTCCTGGGTCTGGCCCCTGGGGGAGTTCCCAGGGGACCTGAGGAGGGATTGACCATGGAGGGTCCTGGCTGGGGGAACCTGGCCCTGGGGACCTGTTGGGGGGGTCTAGGCCCAGCCCTGATCCTTCTCTGGAGGGTGTTTGGCTCCAGGGGAGGGGCTGACAGGACCCCCCAGCCCCCTAAGGATCACTGCACACTGCAGGGGCTCTCCTGGGAAAAACAGCAGCTGCCTTTGGAGGCCAGGAGTGCCAGGACATCAGCCAAGGTCGCTGGGACAGCACTGTGTGAGCCGTGGGAGTGGGTGGGGTGGAAGGCTGCCACCCACCAGCACTGCGTGCCCCTCCCAGGGATGGGGCCTGAGCCGGGTGACTCCTGAGCAGGGTCTGGGCATGGGCACTATGGCAGGGGTTTGTTGTATTTTTGGGAGTTTTGGCTTCACACCCAAAGAGCACACTGGGATGGCTCCTGCTGGCCCCAGCACATTCCCAGCTTGTTGGAAATGTGGGATGCTGGATGGGATGATTCGTGTTGGTGAAATAAACACTTTTTAAGAGAATTTGTATCTGGTAATTAGTGAGATCTGTCCATGCCACGTATTGGGAAGCTGCTGATCCCTACAAGAGGTCTGTGGGATCCATTTCACCTTGCAGAGCTCTTGTTGGCATTTTAATCCCTTCTCGGCCTTACCTCTGATGGGAGGCACTGGCAAAGGTTGAAAGGGCTCTTTTTTCACTGAGCAGACCTCTGCTTCTGTGAAAAATGCCATATGGAGCCTGCGGCCTCACATGATCCTTGGCTGGGCAACCAACTGGCAAGGAGAGAGTGTCCCTCTCCATAAATGCAGGTGCAGATCCTTCCCTTTCTAGAGTCCTTGGACAACATCAAAGGTAGGTCCTGCTCCCCTCTCTTCCCACACCCCCCAGAAGCTCCCCTTGACAGTGTCACCTCCTCCAGCTCAATTTTACCACAAAGCTCTGCTGGGCCAAATCTGGGTGCAGCTCAGGGATGAATATGCCCCTTGTAGGTGCACCTGCCTGGGAGGTTCAGAGGCTGCTGTACTCTCCAGGACTGGGGAGGATTTATGGGGCTTTGGGCAATTTTTGGCATGACCAAATCATGGCACTATCAACTGAAGGGACTGTGGTGTTAGAGGGAAGAGTTCACTGCAAAAGTGCAAGTGGGAAAAGTGAGGATTTAACTAGAGCAGCTGCCCCAGAAGGAAAAGTGAGCCTGGGGTCAGCAAATCCTTCCTCAGGCTGAGATTTTGTGTGCCAAAAGCTGGAGCATTTGCCCGTCCTCTCAGCCCGTTTATCAGGCTCTGGGTGAGTTCAGGAACCCAGGCTTGGGCACTGCTCAGGGCTTAGATCCCACATGCTGGTGAAATATTACCCCAGGGAGCGAGTGCCATGGGAAATACTTCCCAAACGCTTTCCCCCGTGGATGGGAGCTGCAGCACTGCCTTTGCAGAGGGTCCTGAAGGAGCCATCCTGGGTGAGGAAGGGGCAAGGGCACTGCTGGGGGATGGGGGGCAGGGGAGGGGAAAGTTACCCCAGGTGAGGATGCTGCAGGCAGTGAGGAAGGTGGGGAGGGGTGTCAGGGAGGATCCATCCCTTGCTCTGTCCCAGCACAGCTGCTGCAGGGTCTTTGGGGTCTCTGTCACTGATCCAGGGAAAGGCAGGAGAGGCACAAGCCAAGGGATTTTGGGGTCCCTGGTCACTGCCACCAATCCAAGGCCAGAAGAGGTGTCTGGGCTGAGCTCTTCCTCATGGAGAATGAGGAAGTGACTGCTCTGTGTAACCATGAAATGGCATTTACTTGTTTGCCAGTAAATTTTCCACTCCAGCCTTGTGAGTGATCTGGCCTCCTTCCAGGAAGAACAGGTAGGATGAGGCCCCATGCAACAGAAGTGTAAAATTCCTGCATCCTGGTGGTTCACCAGAAAACAGACACCTCCCAGTAAAACCAGTATGGCGACTGGGAATACCCTGGTTATCCCTGTTGTCTGTCCCAAATCCCTCTCCCAGCCAGGAGGGCTGAGCCCCTCCTGCACCTCTACACAGGATGGCAGGCTCGAGGCTGGTGTTGTCGCTGTTGGTCGCAGCTCTCCTGCTGCATGTGGCCACCACGCTGAAGGTCGGCGCCTTCAACATCAAAGCGTTTGGGGACACCAAGATGTCCAACCAGACCATCGCAAATATCATCGTGTCTGTGAGTTGGGGTGACAGGAGCAGGCTTGGATGTGCTCTGCTCTTTGGGATGCAGCCAGCTTGGGCAGCGGGACATCTGCTTCATCCATCCATCCATCCATCCATCCATCCATCCATCCCTTCATCTACCCGTCCATCTGCTCTTATCCCATCAGAATCTCCCACCTCAGGCCATCTCCAGCCCTGCTGGTTCCCCAGTCAAGGCTGGGTGACGTTTGATGCTGCCCAGGTTCCTCCCTTGGAGCAGCTGATGGATAGGTGGGTGGTGGACAGACAGGGCCCTTCCAAGCCAGAGCACACCAACACAGGAATCCCCTCCCTGGCCCTGAGGTCCCTGCTGCCCTCCCATTGACAGCCTGGGAGCTTTTGCAGACCAGACCAGGCAACCATGGGTGCTCCCCAGAGCAGCTCCTGGCCAGGGGAGAGCAGCTCTGAGTTTGTCCCCCCAGATCCTGTCAGAGTACGACATCATTCTGGTGCAGGAGGTCCGGGATGCCGACCTGAGTGCTGTGAATGACCTCATGGACCAGCTCAACAGGTGACCTCAATGGCTTGGTGTGGGAGTGACTGCAAAGGGGATCCTGGATGGATTCCAGCCATGCCAGGGCACCTCTGGCTCAGCTGGAGAGAGCCTGATGGATGCTGGGAAGCACCAGGAACCTCCTCTCACCCTCTCCACAACTTGCTTCCAGTTTTGGGAGGCACCCATACAACTTTTTGGTCAGCATCCCCCTGGGTCGGACCAGCTACAAGGAGCAGTACCTCTTCATCTACAGGTAAGGGATGCTGCCAGGGGTCACCTGCTGCCCTCCCTAGAAGTTCCCAAAAGGGATGGGTACCTTTGGGGGCTGCCCTGGTCTCCTCCCTCAGGTCAGACATGGTCTCCGTGCTGGATAGCTACTATTACGATGATGGCTGCGAGTCCTGTGGGACCGATACCTTCAGCAGGGAGCCCTTCATTGTGAAGTTCTCCTCACCCACCACACGTGAGCAGAGCTGATCTTGGGGGATGCCCAGACCTGGCATGGGGTCCCCTCCATGCAGGGCTGAGCCCAGATCTGTACCTGCCAAGCATAGAGGGGTTGCAAGCCTCCACTAGGGTCCCACCCATGGGTGCCAGCAATGCCTGCTGTTTCTCATCATGTGCCATCTCCTACCAATCACCTTCCATCTCCCACCATGAGCTCTCTCCAGCTGTGTGCTTTCTCACACCTCCAGCTGCTTCCCATTGTGTCCTACATCCCATTATGTGCTACCTCCCATCTTGTGCCATATCCCACCATCTGCTTCCTCTGGCTGGGTGCCATCTCCCATCATGTCCCACCTCCTATCACCTGTCATCTCCATCCATTCTGTCTCCCATCATGTCCCATTTCCCACTTAGTTCCACCGCCTATCCCGTGCCATCACCTGCACCTCCTGAGAACCTCCTCAGGGTACACACACTATCCCATCTCCTGCCCAAAGCCATATTGGCTTGGAAATGCTAATGGGAAACAAGCAGCAAAACCCAAACAATGCACAAAGGCATGCAGCTCCCCACTGGAATTTCCAGTCTGAGGGATAGGCAGAGCACCAAACTCAACACACCCTTTCCCTTTCCTGGCCAGTAGCTGGGGCTTGGCCTGGGGTGGTTTCCAGGGGTTCCCGTTCCCTGCTCAGGGGTTGCACCCAAGCCAGGGGCTGATGGTCAGCTGTCCGGCAGAGGTACAGGAGTTCGTGTTGGTGCCTCTGCATTCCGAGCCCAGCCATGCAGCACAGGAGATCGATGCACTCTACGATGTCTACACCGATGTCATCGACAAGTGGGGGACTAACGTAAGCAGCATTGGGGAGCTTGGCTCCTCCCCAGGGCAGCCAGGTGGGCAGGTGGGATGAACATGTCCCATGGGAGGCCTCTTGTACCCATCAGAGCAGGTGCCAGCCCAGCAGTCTCCAGGCAGGGAGCTGCTGGATGGCCCTCCTGCCATTACTGGGGGCTTGTCCCTGCACACTGGGGCACCTCAGTGGGGTTTGTAGCCACCTCTTAAGATTTTAGGGAGCCCTTGCTGCCCTGTAAGGTGTGTGTGGTCAGGGACTCAGTGCTCTGCCCTGCAGGATATAATCTTCCTGGGTGATTTCAACGCTGACTGCTCCTACGTGACCAGCTCCCAGTGGCCGTCCATCCGCCTGCGTTCCCTCCACGCCTGCGAGTGGCTCATCCCCGACAGCGCCGACACCACCGTGGCCGACACCACTGACTGTGCCTACGACCGGTGGGTGCCGTGGCAGGGGCTGGTAGGGGGAGGACTGATGGGCACTAACACCCCTGTGATGCCTTGGCAGCATCGTCGCCTGCGGCACTGCCCTCCGCCAAGACATTGAACCTGGCTCCGCCACCGTCAACAACTTTGACAAGAAATTCCACCTCCATATCAAGGATGTGAGTGAGGGGCTGGGTGGGGCACGAGTCCACCAGCATTGGAATCTGCCTCATCATAGCTCCTGGGAGCCTGGGAGGGCTCCCTGTTCCCAAGGGTGCACCTGAGGGTGGCCTGACCCCAGCTGTTGTACCAAATCAACCCTCCAGATAGAGCATTTTGGAGTATGGAGTGGAGCATTGGGGTCCCAGCCAGCCATGACAGTGGCAGTGGGTCCAGATGAGCTCAGGGTTTATGAACTGGCTCTGGTCAGGGTGACTCTGCTCTCCCCCCCATGTAGGCTTTGGCTGTCAGCGACCATTTCCCAGTGGAGGTGACCCTGAAAGCCCACTGAGCCTGTCCCCACACCAGTGGCTACCAGGACACCTCAGCACACACCTGCATTCCTCGTGGGAGCCCACGCACCACTGGTGCCAGTTAGGCTGCCCACTGTCTCTGCAAGGAGTCCTTGAGCTCTTGTGGAAGTGTAATGCTTTCTGCTTCCATTAAAAATGAACCTTTTCCTGCCTCTGCAGCTCTGGAAGGGAGGTCTCTTCAGTCTCCCCAGCAGCCCCTGGTGCCCCAGCCCCTCAGCCAGAGAGGTCCCCAGGGCTGGGGCACCTCCTGCCATTAAGAGACCTGGACCCATTGGGTGGTGAGAGCTGCTTCCTTCTCAGCTGATGGTGGCAAAAGCCAGGACTCTGGGAAGGGGCTGGGGGGCTCCAGGATTTCCAGGCTGCAGGATGCTCTTCTGCCAGCTCACAGGGCCACATCCTGACAGAGCCTGCCTGGCCGTGGGGCTGCTGACAGGGCGCTGACAGCGAGGGTGCAGGGAGGATGTGAGTCAGTTCCCAGGGGGTTTGGTGCTTCCCAGGGGGTTTCGGTACCGACATGACACCGAGGGACACGGGACTCACCCCGAGACTGGGTGTGAGGATACAAAACCTGGTGGCGCACATGAGAGCCCGGCAAGTCCTGGCACGAGCAGCCATCAGAGGCACCTGCTTTGTTGTCATCGTGGGGTGATGCCATGGGGTATGGTGATGCCATGGACTGCCATGGGGAATGCCAGCCCTCCTGGGGCTACTTTGGATCCCCAGTGGGGCTGTTCTGGGTGACACTGGGGCTGCTGCAGGGGTTCACAGCCATCCCCTCTTGCCGTGGCTGGTAGTGCTCACCTACTTGACCCAGCCACCGACCATTTCCTTCTCTTCCCTCTAATTACACCATCTGAATCACTCAATTAAGACCAGTGCCCTACACCTCCTGCCTGGCCACCGTGCCCACTCTGTGACCCAGGTGCCACCCCAGATGGCAGCCCCCTAAGTCCCACACACCCATCCAGTCCCACAGGGATGCCCCAGCATTTCCAAGTCTCCCTGTCTGTCCTTTGCTGTGTCAGCACAGGGATGGCTGGGCTGGCCCCACCCTGTCACCCTGTGGGATTTTTGGTTTCCCAATGTGGGAAGGAGCACAAAGTTATGCCAAAACCCCCACGGGGGTGTCCGACTCATCCTGCTTTGCCGGCATCTCCGCTGGGATAAAGCCGCCCATCCTGCTGCCGGGAGGGCAGAGGTGCTGCGCATTCAGCAGGGCAAGGACGGATCCGGGCTCAGAGCCTTCAACTGCCAACCAGGTGGGACTGGGATGCACTGGGATGAGTTGGGATGAGGAGTCGCTCCTCACCCCAGCAGTGGGGGCTGTGGTGAAATTTAAGGATGTGGAACAGCCTGGGGTGCCTGGAATGCTGGCAGTGGTGGATGGGGCTGGAGGGCAGTGAAGACATCCTGCTGGGGGAGTGGAGCTGGGTGATCCCTGGAGCTGGAAGAGGCAGACTCACACTGGTGGGACAGGATTTATCTTCTTCTGGGACTGGTGAGCTGGCAGACTGCCCACACCAGCTCTGCAGCCTGCTCTGGGCGATGCCCACCGTGACACACTGCCACACACCAGGGCTTTGGAAGCATCTACATGTTTTTTCCTCTACTCCAAATCCAAAATAGTGTTCCGAGTTCATCTCCCATCCTTGCATCTTTGTGACCCAGCATCAATCCTGGAAGAATGGGGACTGTGACACTGGAATTGTCCCTGCTGGCTGTGGCTCTCCTGTGCCCAGCCACTGCCATGCTCCGCATCGGTGCCTTCAACATCCAGGCCTTCGGTGACACCAAGATGTCCAACAGGGAAGTGGCAGAGATCATCATCAACGTGAGTGCAGCCAGTGCACCGTGGGGATCGTCTGTGTGCTGGGACAGACCCCAGCACAGCTCCTGTGCCAGAGATATGTGGGGAGGTGGCTGAAGATGGGTGGCTGAGCAGATGAAGGCTTGGTGGGGTGTCAGGCACAGCCCACAGTCCCTCTGAGCCCTCCCTGGGGACATCTGCTCTGGCACCAAGGAACACGCAAGTCCCCAGGGTACTGAAACCAGAACCAGGTGCCTGGCTGGGAGATGGGTGGGAGACTGGCCCTGAGCTGTCCCTCTCGGCCTCGCAGGTCCTGCGCCGCTACGATGTGGTGCTGGTGCAGGAGGTGCGCGACTCTGACCTCAGCGCCGTCACCGAGCTCATGGAGCAGCTCAACAGGTACAAGAGGGGCTGGGACGAGGATGGCAGTAAGAGGCAAAAAAAAGTTGTCCATCAACAGAGAGCTTATATTTGGAAAGACAAATAGGAGAAATGTGCTGGGGCAAGGTGGAGGCACTGAAAACAACCCTGGGAATAACCCAGTGAAGGGAATGGGGATACAAGTGATACAAATCCCCTCTGAAAGCTGTCAGCTCACCAGAGCTTGCAGGATGGAAAGGAACTACAGTTCTGGCAAGCTTTGTCTCCAAAATCCAACAGGACAGGGCAGAAGGAAGAGAGGGGGAGGAAGGGACAGACAGACCTTGCACCCCAAGACCCTGTGAGTGGCAGGGGGACCCCAGAATGGACCCAGCAGTGGAAGATGCTTTGAGGGGGGGGTCATTCTGGCACCCTAGGAGGAAAAGGGGCTGCTGGGGTGGGCTAAAACTTGCCCCAGCAGGGTGGCAGCCCCTCCGCCAGCTGGGTGCTGACCCCATTTTGGGAGAGGGCATGGAGAAGCTGCTGCTGCCATGTTGAAAGGCAGCTAGTGCTCTCAGGAGGTGATGTGCACCCAGCCCATGTCCTCGCCCCTTCCGTGTCCCCTCCAGCAGGCCACAAAGCAGCCAGGGCAGGGAGGGTGACTCTGCGTGCTGCAGAGCCCCAGGCTGCTCACTGACCTAATTTAGCTCTGCTGCAAATGAAGGTGAGGAATGTCCCTGCAGAGAAAGGGTGTCAGGAGCTGCCCAGTGCCATGCTGTAGCCAAGGAGACACATGGGGGAGAGGCATTGGGGACTTCAGAGTCACCCGCATGTCACCCCACAACCAGGGCACAGTGACCCATGGGGACTGTAGAGCAGGACCAGCTGGTACAAACCCTGGGGCCACCCAGCTCCTGGACATGCCAAAGCAAATGCAGGATGGTCCCAGCCACATCACTGTCCTGCCTTTGTGTCTCTGCAGCGCATCCACATCCACATATGACTACGAGATCAGTGGTCCCCTGGGACGGGAGAACTACAAGGAGATGTACCTGTTTATCTACAGGTAATGGGGCTGGCAGTGCTGCTGCCTGTGCCATGACACTGCAGGGCCACCAGCACCATGGAGTGGACACAGGGGCTGTGCCAAGTCCCAGGGTCACCATCCTTTTGCTCCCACAGGACAGATGTTGTGTCTGTGGTGGACACCTACCAATATAAGGACCCCCAGGATGTCTTCAGCCGGGAGCCCTTTATCCTGAGGGTCTCAGCACCCAGCACCAGTAAGTGGGGGAACAAGTGGCCATGGGTTGTGGCATAGGGTGGCCATGGGGCTGACATCCCTCTCTCCTGCTAGAGGTGAAGGAGTTTGTGCTGGTGCCCCTGCACTCAGCCCCACATGATGCTGTTGCTGAGATTGATGCACTCTATGATGTCTACCTGGCCATCATCAACAAGTGGGGGACTGATGTGAGTGCCACCAGCACTGGGGGGACACCAAGGTTGGGCACTGAGCCCCAGGGACTGTTTGACCCACACTGGGACCCTGCTTTGAAGCAAGCACAGCTGGTGCAGGAGCCATGGGGTGGGAACCCTGTTCCTGCCCTGTGATGGGGCAGTCTCTGCCACCCCCATGGGAGGGCTGGTGGCAGGAACAGCCCATCACCCACACCATGAACCTCCCATCTCCCCAGCAGAACATGATGTTCCTGGGGGACTTCAATGCTGACTGTTCCTACGTCCAGCCGAGCGACTGGTCATCCATCCGCCTGCGCACCAGCGACATCTTCAAGTGGCTGATCCCCGACAGCGCCGACACCACCGTGGGCAAGTCAGACTGTGCCTATGACAGGTGAGCGCTGCCACCACTGTCCCTTCCCTGGCACCCCAGTGGCCCCCTGCCTGCCCTGCACTGCCAGACAGGGCAGGAGTGGCACCCACCATCCACCCAAATCTCCCCTGCAGGATTGTGGTGTGTGGCAACAAGCTGAAGAGAAGCATCGTGTCCAACTCAGCTGGTATCTTCAATTTTCAGCGTGCTTTCCAGTTGGACCAGGAGGAGGTGAGCCCAGGATCACACACTGGGGGCTCTAGCAGGCATCAAAGCTGAGCTGGCCCAGGCTGCAGGGCTGTCCTTGTCTCTTCAAGGGGCTCAGGGTGACAAGAGACCCAAGGGTGGAAAGCGGGGATTTGGGGTCACTGCCTGTCCCCATTGGGAAGAGAAGAGATGCACAGGGTTTTTTAAGGTCTTCCATGGGCAGGACTCAAGGTATGGGGTAACCCAAGCCAACCTTCAACCACCCATGACTGGCACAGAGCCCCCAGATGAGACATGGGAGCTTGGAGGGCAGGTGGCCATGCCTGCCCCAAGCCACACCTGGGCACCTCTCCCTGAGAGGTGCCAAAACTCTTGTTTTGGCCTTGTGTATTGAGTATCTTGGGGCTAGGGACAGTGTTCCACCTCCAGCAGGCAGAAGGTTCTGGCAGGGCGATTGACTGCCCTGCCAGCCCCAGCAGAACAGCGAGGGGTGAGTGGCTCACTGAGCATTTCCTAACTCTTGCCCTCTTCCAGGCCCTGGCAGTCAGTGACCACTACCCTGTAGAGGTGAAGCTGGCAGCCTGAGCTCCTCCTGCAGCCACAGACCAGGATCCAGCTCCAGCTCCCACCACCAATCCCCATGAAGGTATTCCACTCAGCCCCATCCACAAGTCCTGTGCATGGGCTGCCCTAGATCCCGGTCTGGAGAAAGATGGAAGCTGGCTGTGCCCAGACCCCCAGCCCACCATGAACCAGAGCCTGAGGATAGGGCA